GCCATAAAGAAACATGTTATAAACAGAAAAACGAATGAGACAAAAAAGATCAAAAAGTACCTTCGATTTTTTCGAAGACGAAGTAGTGGCGGTGGCCGATTGTTTTCGCTTCCTAGTAAAGGCCAGAGGGTCCGATTCGTCTGGGGACTCCCAGCTTGTTTCCTTCTCCTTCTCTTGCACCTTTTCGAAGGCGACTACCTTGGTAGATTTTGCAACTGTTGAGGAATGAAGATAGTTAATTTTCGAAACACAGAATCGAAAATTAAGAAAAAACAGTAAAACCTCACCAAAAGGTGATGGAGTCAAAATTTTGACTCGGTCGATATGTACTAGCCAAGGAGGCAGGAAAGCTTCAGGGAGGTTAAGGTAAGGGAAATAAAATAGTCTCGACACAGTAATATCTTTGTTTTTGGGTTTGGGACGTAACGTTTCTTTCGAAGTTCTCAGTTCTCGAACCCATTTAGGATGTGTTAAAGGTTTGGCAACTCCAAAGGGAGCATTGGGAAAAGTAGGAAGGCGATTGAGACAATATTTCTCAAAAGGGGTCTTCCCTAAGGGATTGATTGTTTTGCGATCGATTCGATTAGCGGTGGTTTTGTGAGACAGGGAAATGACAGGCGTCATAAAAGGTCGATTCTAATCTCAATGGGTTGTAACATATTTGATAAAAATGCTCGAATCGAGTTATTTGGAGATAGTGGGAGTGTTTACCTTTCTTCGCCTTCGATTTGTCCTGCAACACAAGAGAAGGATGAGCGATCGATCTCGTCGAACCTCATCAAAAATAGCACGATTACTCGAAAACCAATTGGTCCACCATTGAGAAAATTCCACAGTCGATAAGTAATTTGACTCAAATGCATATGGGTAAAAATGCATCGAGGGTCTTGGCAAAAATTTAGCAAGCTCTCGGCCGATGTTCGAGTCAGTCAACTTGGATTTAGGGAAGGTATTTAAAGGGAAAAAGGGTAAAGACTGGCTCAGGCCAAACTGTCTGGAAAAAAGCTGAGGGTAGTAAGTAACGAACTTGAAATCCCTGGGGTGGAAACCCGATACTAGTACATCATGGGTCAAATAGCCACTCCATATATCGACCAATTCTAATTGTAACTCAGGGGTTGAGGCGGGAAATCTTGACTTGAACCAGATCGGTCCCCTAAGTTGGTCACTTACTCGCTCAAAATTTACAGTAAACGGGGCCAGGGTTGAATCGAAAACAAATCTGGTTAATAAAAATTGGAGGTATTTACAATATGTGGCTTCGTCAGATTTATAGCGAGGGTGACGGGAGGATAATCGAGCCCCTTCTATATTTACACTCAGGGGGACAGTAGAATATCGAGGAAGGATGCTCTCAAAAATGGATGTTAACAATAGTTGTATGAACCAAACAGGGCCAGAAAAATTCCCCGATGCCTTAGGAGTACTTAAGATTTCGACAGCCTCATCGAAAGCGGTGTATACATGTGCTAACAAAAGCTTGGCCAAACATAGGCGAGGTTGACCTAAGTGAAGGAGATACGCAAGATTGAAGAGATGGGGGGAAATTTGGATCGATCGGGGGCAAAACACTTGGGTGCACAGCCAGTACACCAAAAACGCTACATGTTCTTCATCAGTAACATCTATTGAAGGGTCATCAACGAAATGTTTCTCAATAAAATGCCCGTAGGCCTTCGATTCCCAATCGAGTTTAGACTTCAACAAATTATCCGAGGGACATGCACCCTGAAAGTATCTCTCCCCTATAGGTTTTAACCCAGTGATGACTGCAACATCGAGAAGAGTAGGTGAGAGGGGACCGCAAGGTAATTCCAACGCATGTATCTCTTTATTCCACAAGTGCACGGCAGCCAGGAACATAGCCATGTCGAGGTAGGATAGGTCACATTGAGACAAGTGTAGAAAATAAAAAATCCCCACGTTCCTCCAATGGTTCCCAAATTTCGCCTTGACCCTATCAAACCATCTAGTGAACAAAGATTTTTTGGAGGGAGGGTCTGTCCTATACACCTTGGAAACAAAGTTCAAAAAGTCGATCCTAACTTCGGGCTGATGAACGAGAGCAGGGCTGTTTGAGAGGGCGAGGGGAGAAACGGTTCCACTACCAGAAAGAATGGGGCCCCCAAAACCAAAACCAACCCCACCAACAATGTAAGGAACTAATACCTGAGTTTCAGCAATCCTTTTGGAGGCCTCCTCCATCAGAGGCAAGGGAGCAAACTGCTGGTTGTTAATCTCCAGCAAGGTAGAAGCGGATGAGATAAGAGGAGGAGCCGAGAAATCAGATGACTTGGATGAAGAGGCCATTATAGTAAGATTAGAGAAGTAGTAAGGAAGAAGGTGACAGGTAAGGTAACAGAGACGAAGGCAAGAGCTCAGGGAAGAAGACAAGATTGCAAAAGAGGATAAAAGTTCGAGTAAAGCCAAAGTAAAGATAGGTTGAGAGGTTAAGGGGAAATCGTATAGGGAGATGGAACGACAGAGGTGAAAGGTAATAAATGCAGCGTACTGTGAAAGCAGCAGACTGATATGATAGCGACGTAAAGAGGAAAAGAAACCTAAAACCCCTCTTAACCTAGAACCCCAGAAACCCTAAACCCTAAACTTTACGGGCCTCCGAACACTTAGGCGGGAAAAGTTGAAAGAATACAAATAAATCGTTTATATTCTTCCAAGGGGGCATTTGTTAATATGGAATCGAGAAGTATGATCGAGAAACAAGTTGAAAGGGAATTTTTCGATGTCCGAATATAAAAGGCGTGACACATAAAATCGAAAGGTCGAAAGAGTCGGAGTAATAGTCGAAAGGTTAACATGGAACAAACCAAGAAAATTGAAATATGTGAAGTTAAGGTTAAAATAAATCGATGTCAGGTATGCAAAGTTCTCGACAAAATCGAAATCGAGGGGAAGGTTCTTTTTACATGAATATCGAAACCCTTCCTAAACCTTGAAGAGAATTAGTCAAACGCACGTAGGGGAAATAGCTTCTCAATCACGGAAGAATCAAGGATCGTGAGAACATGAGAAAACTGTAAAAAGAAACTGTCATACGCACGAAGAACGTGGTGGCAGTCTCGTTAACTGCTCTTAGGAGGCTTGAACAACGCCCTATAAATAGAACAAAGAAAGGAGAAACAGGGGAGCAGAAATTGGCAGAGAACAGGATTAGTAGTGAAAAGTCTACCGGAGAAACGACGAACACCATGAAGTTTCTGGCAATCTGGATTTCCTTGCTCACTGAGTACATTTACCGCTTTCTGTATTTTCCTTGGTAATTTATTTTGATGCAACTTAAATTCAGCAGTTTTATGTTTCTGTATTTTCTATTCCTTGTCCATTTCAATTCAATAAAAATTTGAGTTTCTGCATTTAGATTTCCTGTTATTTAACATTATGCAAATCTCGATTTCTTGTCATTTACTTTTCTTGCAATCTCGATTTCTTGTCATTTATATTTGCGTTGTTTTCGATTTCTTGCTAGTTACAATTAATGCAAGTTTGGGGTTTTCGCACTTTAGATTTCCTGTTATTTAACATTCTGCAAATCTCAATTTCATGTCATCTACTTTTCTTGCAATCTCGATTCCTTGTTATTTATATTTGCGTTGTTTTCGATTTCTCGCTATTTACAATTAATGCAAGTTTGGGGTTTTCGCATTTTACATTTCCTCGCAATTTAACACTCTGCTTTTCGATTCGATAGTCTTAATGCTTTCGATACTTTAAATACAAAACACCAAAAATAGCTTTTTCGATATCCTGTAGTTTTCGATTCTCATACACGTTTTCGATTGAAAATCAAATTGCTAGCCTAAGTAAAAAGAGCTTACGTGGTAGAATTTTGATTAGGACCAAAACACCCTTAGAATCGAAATCGATCGAAATTCCACAAGAAACAATAGGTATCATGGTTTGCAAGGAAAGAACAAGATTTGTTCTAGTTACTTTGAAAGGATGTTAGTTTACGTTTGAAAGTTAGGAAATTTATTCACAAATATTTTAATAAAAATATAATTTCAGATCCATTTAGACATCTGATTTAATTATTGTTAATAGTTCCCAAATTCCAATTAAATAAATTATATTAAACTTTAAACAATGGCATGCAACAACATTGGAGACTGACAACTGTGATTTGTCAGATTCTGAATCTGTCAATGATGAGCTAAATTGATTGAATCCAAAAGAAAATATACTTATTAGCCCAAAGTAAATTAAAACATTATATTAAATACATTTATTAATAATAAATAAATTTATTTTATTTTCTCTTAATTTAAATAATTTTTTTTTTTACTTTTTTTTTTTTTTTACTTTTGCACTCTCTAAGTCCACTCTAAAAAAATATAACTTATACTAAAAATGGATAATAGATAATAAAAAGTTAAACATTTTAATATTTTGAAATTGAGTTGACGGGTGACTCAAAACCTTCAAAAAAGGTGGGTTTCTAGTATTGGATTAAATAAAAATATAATTTTTTTAATACTTATTATGGTTTGAATAAGCCTTTCTGTCTCCCTTTATAGCCTGTTGTACCTAGCTGGTTATAGCCATGGACAAGTTATTTATTAATGCATTAATCATTTGTACACGTAGAACTGTATCCTTTGGATTATTTTCTTTCTTTCAAAATCTTATTTTTTAAATATGTTAAATATAGCTAATAAAAAAGTGATTCTATTTTGTAATTTTCCTTCACTATGAGTGATGGTGAGGAAATATATACAAAAAAGGTATAAACTTTGGTTGGCTGGGAAGAAGATAGAATCTGCGAAAGTAGATTGTGTGGTGTGTGATTTTGAAAAGTCCAAAATTTGAAAGCATTATGCAGTTGAGCAGGTAGTGAGTGTTTGTTTCTGTAGACAGACAATAGTGTGTGATGGATTAGATAGATTAGATGGAATGAGAGGTATCATTGTGTTAGAATTTGGACGTAAACTAACTAAGCAAGATCTAGATATCTTAGGGTTTGTCTGTATACCCTTTTCTAGTCAATTCCATGATGCGTCCAACTCATTCTGAATCTCCTCACTTCCTTTGCCTACTTTGCTGGAATGAAAACATATGGTAAAAAAATCACTTGACCTAATAATGAAGTTTATATAGAAACTTGTTTTACAAATATTGAAACTCATAAACTAAATAAATGCGTTCTCCTTCCCACTGTTGATTCATAGTACTCAAGAACACAAGCATTATGCTTGTTTGCTGATTCAAGGTGTTACATGTATTTGATAAAAAAAATTGCTCAAAAGTTTAAATTTAGACCCTACAATGCATGGGGCCAAACACGTTATGAAGCAACACCTGGATCGGCTACGATGGGAACATATGGAACATACCATGTGACCATATAATTCTTCAATGTCTAAATGGTGAGAGCATTCTTTAAAGAGAAAGTGCCGTGTAAGGACATGTTTGGATCGATATTCTCTCTTCTTATTATAGAAAGTTTTTCACTGGTTATTTATGTACAGTTATGTAAACACACGGCATAATATTCTTATTTTTTAACTTGCCTTAATTTTCTCCTTGCCACCATCAGTGTTTCGCATTGATCACCTCATGCCACCATCCAAACAATAGAGTGGAGCGATAAAGAGCAAAACGATCAATGATTGATAGGAACACATGCATGAGTATGTAAGCAACAACTTGGAAAAGAAACCTATAAAAAGGAACCAGTTTACACCAAGAATCAGTAGCTAGCTAGTGAGATAGTGCGTGATATACCTGCCTACCAAGTGGGAACCAAATTATTTTCATAGTGCGAATATATATGCAAAGTTGCCATGCCACAAAATAACACCGGAACAAGGAAGAGAGTTTTGTAGCATAAATAGAAACAAATCATGCTCTGCTATACCTAGCACCATTACTGCATTTTGAACTTGGTAGTACCATATCTCTCTTCATCCCTTTCATGATATTCTTTTTATACCAAGAATATTCTTTAACGGATCTCTTGACGAATTGGTTAATACGTAAAAAGTGTGTATTATTTCTCTCAATAACAACACGCAATGCAACTCTTAATTGCGTAATTACAGGACGATTGTACGTGAAAACTAAACTTGTTTTGTTTTGAAGCTTGTCGGGGAGCATCTGTTTGGAAGGGTGGGGACTGGAGTGGGGTGAGGTGAGGGAAGATTCAGATGTTTCATGATTCGAATATCGAGCACAAGATCTTAGTTTGCAATGTGCGCAGAAAAGTAGCGAGGGTGGGTTTGATCGCATATGCACTAGTGCAGCAGAAATATCTTTTTACAAAGCACATACATGCAATATCTGTTTTCTAAACAAAGATCGACATCGCAAAAAATGTGGTAGAAAATACGTATATAAAAAGTAGTTACATACATGCAACAATATATTGGCTTTTGTTCTCCAATGCCAATCTAAGTGGTTTCTTATAACTCAGCAAAAAGTAGCAGAAGCCACTTGCTTTTACACCCACTCCCATTGCTATTAATTAAGTACATAGCTATCTGCATTTACAATATTTTAGATCATATAATGTATATTTGTATCTCCTACCCCCGACATGGGAAGGATGACATCACTCCTGCTTCACACATATATCTCTCAACAGTAGACCCGAGTTAGCTTATACCAAATGAAGAACAAAAACCATACAAAATGGAGTTCATCCTATCATAAATGAGACCTAAAGTTAATTTTCAAAAGATACTATTTTCCAACCGATGCAATTTTTTTAATGATACTTATTGTTAAAATTAAATATTTTATTATGGTTTGATGGGTTACTTAAAATATGATTAGAGTTAGAATTACTTATCCAAATAATTTTCTTTTCATTTTAAACAATTTTTTTCACTTTTAAGTAATTTAAACGTGAAATCAATAAAAAAATATTTACTTTTATTCTTAATCAACTTTTGATAACTAAGTGTTTTATTAGTAGTGTTTAAGGTTAACTTCTCAAATATAAATGATTAAAGAAAAAATAAATAATAGACAACTACCTATATTATGATAATAGTAGTATATAATAACTGAATTTAAAATTTAAAATAAAAAACATATTTTCGTTTGATTGTTTGTGTAAAAGCAGAATGTTTATTTGTTAAAAAATTAGAAAAAAGATGGATTGATATATAACTCTTTTTTTTCTAAAAACAATTTCATTTAATAATATTAATTTTAATTATTTTTTTATCCATTTATAATTATTATATTAATATAGAAAGCTGTGTATTATATGTTTTTCTTTTCATCGTGATTATTATCCTCACTCCAAAAAAATACACAATAGAAATAAACATATATAAGAAACAACGAAAACAATATTTATTTGATCAAATTTTATTATGAATAACTACAATCATAAATATTAAAGAACATAATGAACCATTATTTGTAAAATGTATATCTTAAATTTCCATTATACCTGTTATCTCCTTTTTATTAATTTTAATTGCATTGATCTTAACTGAGTTTCTTATCGATGATTGAGTCATCGTATATAAATTATTCATGTAAGACTTCGAATATTGCTTAAATTTGTCTCAATTCATGGAATTGGTTTTGTCGAATAACTTTGAGATTGTGATACCACTCTTTGAGAGTTATAGTCATTCTATAATAGAATTCTTTGATAATCTTATATGAGTCAGAGTCTTTGATTAATTTGATGTCTAACCAAACTCTAAAATCAATCCTCGATCTTCGTTGGTTTGGAGGAATATTGTTAATATTAAACTAAGGTTCAGTATTTATCTTTGAAAAAACATTTATATTAAAATGATCAGAGTTAACTTCTTTGTCAGAAAAATTATAAATAGACTCGTGTATGACTCCGAGTTAAATTTAAAATACGAGGGAGTTGATTAAAACTATTTTGAATTTTGACGCATAGAAAAAGAACAATAACAGTATAAAAAAAAAGTGTTAAACATGGCGGTGATAAAATAAGAGTGAAGTTTATGTGCGAAGTGAAAGCCTGAGCACACGTATTTAGAGGATTGGAAATTTTGAACCTATTATTGGCACGCGCAAACGCTGACATAGGCCCCATCTGAAATAACTTCTAACTCCACCTTAACTCCTTAATAATGTAGTGCACTAAAAAAAGAAAAAATAATAAAGTATTACTTTTTCCTTTATATATTGGAGGATTTGTATCCACCAAAAACTAAACACACTCATCAGTATCTCATCAGTACTTTTATTTAGTTCGATCTTCTTCATGAATTGTGTACGAAATCACATGATTAGTGTTTAGAAAACGCAAAGAGAGTTATAGATGGCAATGTCCAATCAAATATAACTTTTTTGTTCGTCACAATTTGTGTGCATACTAATTAATTAATTAATAAAGCCACATTTCATATCAAAGATCCTCTTCCGTCTCTAAATACGTAAAAAAGTGAATAGAAAAAAAACAAAGGGATTAATTTTATATGACAACAAAAAAAGAAAAAAGAATGCACCCAAAGTGATCCTTGGATTTTAATCGCTGAAGATGGCGAGTGAAAGAGAAATCCAAAGAAACAAGTTCAGCGGTGTGTGTGTGGTGCAGAGAGGAAAAGAGATTCGCTTTGAAGTTGAAGTGTGGGGAACTTGTATTATTCAATGTTTGAGGCCTTCTTTCTTAACTTCATGTGTGGCAGACAAAACTGTGTCCCCAACTTCCCTTTGTTCTCACTCTCAACCCACATAAATTCCTGTTCTAAAATTCCATTTCGTTACATTATTTTTCAAACTATGCATGTGGTACATGTTTCAAATCTCATCTCAATTGAAAATACAATTACAATAAACTATCGAATTCTAAAAAAAATAAAAAAGCATACCCCAATGAAGGAGGAGGATGTAGGGGTTAGAGGGTGCTTCCATGCTTGCCCTCGTTGACTATTTCTTTTCCATTCGTATAAAAAATATAAAAGACAACGAAAAAATGAGTTGAGTTATTTATTATTATTTTTGAATAAATGATGAGATAAAGGTAGGTGCATATATCCTTGGAAAGATCCCTGGTGGCCAGAAATCCTTTTCCATGTAAGATTTTGTGGCAGGTGAATCAAAAATGCATGTTTATGTAGATCCCGTATCAAAACACTATAATATATGCAGTGAAAGTAACATACGTGGATTTCATATCGTCGTTGATTCAACTTTGGTTATGTTTCGTCAGTGTTTCTTCCTCCCCAGACATGTAATTGGTTGGATCAAAAGGTGTATTATAACGCAATCTTTATTATTCACCCACAAACGTCAACTCCAACTTCACAACTTGCTTCTTACAATTTTTTCCCAATGTTTATTATATATTTTTTCCAATAAAACTACTTCCAAATACAATATCTTTTTTTATTATTATTATTTAAAATTAGTAATTGTTACTTATTTTAGAAACAAGAATATTTGCTTTTGAAATTTAGATTTTTATTTGTAATTTAAAAATAAATGTCTAAACACTTATACGATCAAAATTTTAATACTTTTGCATGTCTATTGTTTGGAAAATAATTGGCATCTTTTATACAAAACTTTATACCTATTAGCTTTAATATGTAAATTAATTTGTTAGATGAAATTAATGTTATGTTTAGTCATTCATTACTAGAAACCTATTTTTTTTCCAACTTGTAAAAAATTGTTTTAATTTATAAAAAACTTAATTTTTGCAACATTTTTAGTTGTGAAGATTCAAAACTTAATTCTAAGTTGTGAAGATTCAAAACTTCAAATCAATGTTCCCCATTGTGTGTCCTTTTTTGTCTTCCATTGACAACCGTTTTAAAGACATTATTAATTAGTCAACAAATCAAAGTATTAAAACTATATAATGAAGATATATTAAGATAATAAAATATTGTAATTAAAAAAGTTCCCTTTATTTTATAACAAGTATCTTAAAAAAACATTAATATATATATATATATATATATATATATATGTTATTATTTTTCTTATATATATAAAAAAAACGCCAAGTTTTATTAACTTTGCGCACCATATATCTTGATTCCTTCTTCTTTCTTTTCTTTTTCATTCCAATAGCATTTTCATGGCATTGAAAATCTGTGCATATTAATTTTAATATTTAATATTTTGTGTTTTTTTTTCTAAATTATTGTTTTATTTAAATCGTGCTAAGCAGGGAAAGGAATGTTTCCCATTTTGTGTTTCTTTTTCTTTGTCTCCCACTCAAATGTGTCACAGAAATAATTTTTTTGGAGTCTTACTAGCAAATATCTTAAAGACAATAATTAAGAAGTCATTCAATAAAATATTAAACTTTACTAATAAAACTAAAATTATATTTTCATAAAAAAAATGACCAATGACTTATTATTTATCCATTCGTTCTGGTGTTTCACTCATTACACGAAATTTTCTGTATTTATGTCAACATAATTATTGGTATTTGTTAAATATTTAGCTTATTTATATTTTATATGTTTTTTATTTTTTGTTTTAGATAATATTTCGATGAAAGACACCAGTTTAGAAAAGAATGACTATTAAAAACCTTAAAGCTCTTTCCCATACTATTAACACAGCTTGATATTCAAAGATCACGTTTTGTTAAATTGAATCAAATTCATGTCAATTAATCTTCATCATGCCGAACAAATATCAAATAAACTGTTCTGTATTATAACTTTTGTTAAACACAAGTAAATTTATTTCTCATATTTGTTTTTGTCATATCATGAATATTTTTTTTGTTCACGTTTGATTTTATTGTGATTTAAAAAATATTAAAGACATATCTTATTAAAAAGTATTCTTATAAGTTTTAAAATATTTGGTATATTTTATTTTAAGAATAACAAATAGGAAAATATTTGTTTTATTTTTTAATCTAAATAAATGAAAGTATTAATGTGAAAATCAGTCTAATAAAATGTTTAGAATAGTGCAATGCTAAATAATCAGTAACTAGAACATTGGTTTAAATAGCAAATAATAGATTCATTTCCACTTATTTATTTATGTCTTCTCCATAAGCAAAATAATTTTTAAGATGGTCTATATATAATTTTATATGTTTATAAGATTTCTAAAATAATATTTTGAAATAAGAGAGATGAAGAAATACATAAAATGAGGAAAAAAATAAGTAAAATGTTACATAAATGGAGGAAATAATATATTTGAATAAAACGTTTAAAAAGAGAGTAAAATAAAACGAAAGGCAAGATCAATTTATATTAAATTTTCATGTGGATCTAGGTTCATATTTAATTGCAATTTTGAATAGTTAGGCCTTTTGCTTTGCATACTTTCTATTTCTAGGTAAAAAGAACTGAAATAAAAAAGTAGAGAAAGCATATGCATAGTGAAAGATTAACGCTGGTGAGCACTGTGATGTGAGTGGCACCAGATTTGTTTGAAACCCGATATCCAGGTGTGCAGGTGGCATTTTTCTTTGAATCATTGACTCTTCTCGTTGCTTTGCATTTGAAACGAAGACACAGAATTCAATGGAGTCTTGGTTTTGAACTTTTTGGTCTCTGAGTGAAGTGACCATGATTTTGATCACAAACTTGATATTTTTGGGCTCTGCTTGACTGAAATGTGATCATAACTGCAGCCACATCAGTTGTATGCCTCTAACAATTTTTCATACTAACAAGTGGCAAAGTTAGCGACCGAAACATAAAACCTTGTTCTGTAGAAGTGAATATGGGGTGGTTGAGGTTGTAGGTGAGGTGATGGGGCAGAAGATAACAATTGGAATGTATATTTCATTGCAGAGGTCGGAAATTAAGGTAGAGCATTGGCTTGTCGCGTTGATGAGTAGGGTCCGAGAAAGAGGCAGCCATGCATGCATCGATTGTTGAAAGCTTGGGATGATGGTAACTGCTAAGGGTGTGGCTTCAAACTTACACATATGAAAAGGAAAAAAAAAAGTTTTTATTTTCCCTTTTGGGAGAACCTCTCAGAATCTTTGTTTTGTTTGATTTTGAATATTGTGTTTGATCATGGTAAAGACTAAAGAGTTTAAGACCACTCAGTTCCTTGCTTTCAGTAGTGGGATAAGATTGATGATAATACATTTATAAGTAGAACATATTTACTATATAGTGCCTATTTTATATATATTAGGTAATCATATTTTTCACACTTATATATGAAAAAAACACTTTATTAATCTATTTGAATTTTTGTAATCCTTTTTTTCTCTCATATTATCATCAACTATATCATTTTTATTCTCCTTTTGCATATTCAAAAAGTATCCAATAATATTAGAATAAATAATTCCCGGAGATTTTTTTTTAATTTTTCAGTTATATTATTTTAACATTTTTTAAATATTTTTGAAACAATCCATTTTAGTTTTATATCAGAGTTTAAATTATTTATTTTAAATTTTAATTAATATAAATTTTCATAATTTTAAAATTACTTATTAAAAAACCAAACTAAATTACATGTAAACAAAATTCTATCCTATATAAAACACAACTAAAATATTAGTTGAAAATATTCTATAGTTCAAACATTGCCACAAAACTTATTTTGTGAACCATAAAGTCAATTATATGAGTTATTTAGTCTATATTGGTGTATGCAATTCGTTAGACAATTTTACGGTTAAACAACTTTTATTCTTACATTGTTAGTTTATTTTTTATTTTTTAATTTAACTTCCGAATCTTTTTCCTTTCTGTAATTTTTTTTTCATTTGAGAAATTTTGGGAAACTCTTTCCCTTCTAAAGGTGTGTCAAAATTATAAAACTTTTGAATAAAAATGTAATAATTGTTGAAATATTATTCTGAAATAAATTTCTATAATAATTTCTACTAAAATTTTTCGATGTGCTAATAATATTATTGTAATAATATTAATCATTGTAATTTCACTACCAAAAAAGTTGGGTTGAGAGACCAAGAAGAAAAATCATGAGAAAATTTTTGTGTTATTATGATGTATATAATATTTTTTTACATTGCATTTAATCATTTGATACATTTTTTTTATTTCTCAAATTCTTTAATCTTCCTTTAACTAAAAAAAGAAGAAGAAGAGAGTGTACGTTCTTCCTTTATCAAAAGATTTTCGTATCCTTTCCTAATCTTTCACGTCTCCGTTGCAGCATATCTATCTCCAGTGACCCCCCTCCCTCGGTTCTTTCACTTATTAGAATGGTATAAGTTTTTGTTTTTTTATTTTATTAAATAGACATCGAAAGAAACTTGTTTATTAAATTAATTTTAGTTTATTAAGTTGAGAAACTCGTTCCGTGATGTTATATAAAAATTACAGTAGAATAAGGAAGAAGTATATAAAAATTCACTCTGTATCTCAACAAATGCTACTTTCCATGCATATTTAAAAGCCACACATTCCCTTCTGCCACACTCTCTGACGCACTTCATTGACCATTCCCACTATACGCCACCCCCTCTTTAAATTCCCACAATTTGCATCCTCCACTCGGGAGAATAAGCAAAGGAATTCAAACGTACACACATACATATACCAAAAAAGAAAAGGAAACAAAGAGCGTTTTCATTCTGCTTGCTTTCAAGTTTTTGAACCTTTTCCTCGCTTTCTTGCCATTTTCTTGGATGGAGTCTTGCAAGGGGCTAGAAGGAGAGGAGGTGAAGTGCGTGTGGGTTCATGGACCTATAATCGTAGGGGCAGGACCCTCGGGACTCGCCGTTGCAGCGTGTCTCTCCCACCACGGAGTACCCTACGTCATTCTCGAGAGGAGTGACTGCATAACCTCCCTTTGGCAACACAGAACCTACGACCGTCTCAAACTCCACCTCCCCAAACACTTCTGCGAGCTACCCTTCATGCCCTTCCCTCACCATTTCCCAAAATACCCCTCCAAGAACCAGTTCATCTCCTACCTCAACTCCTACGCTTCACGCTTCAACATCCGCCCTAGGTTCAACCAATCCGTTCACACCGCTCACTTCGACCCCGCTTCCGAATTCTGGGTCGTCAGAACCGACGATTTTCAGTACATTTCCCCGTGGCTCGTCGTCGCTACTGGAGAGAATGCCGACCCTGTGATTCCCTCAATTGTTGGCATGGACAAGTTTCACGGACCCATTGTTCACACCAGCGTCTATAAATCTGGCTCTGATTACAAAAACAAGAGGGTTTTGGTCGTTGGTTGCGGCAACTCAGGAATGGAAGTTAGCTTGGATCTGTGCAGGCACAACGCCAGCCCTTACATGGTGGCAAGAAACACGGTGGGTAACTAACTACAAACACATGTTCTTTTGTTTCCCAATTCCCATGCATGTTTTTTCTCATTTGGGTAACTAGTTAAAATATGAACCAAGCTTTGTTTCTGTGCTGTTCTTTTTTATCTGTATTCGAGTTTCACTACGTGATAGTAATCTTCACTGTAAGACTGTGTTAGTATTATTGATTTTCAATGCAAATCTCAGATGTAATAATATAATTAAGATGAAATTTTCATTTATAAGATGCTATAAATAATAATATTCTAAACTGTGTGTGTCTACCACTTTGTTGACATGATGTTATGGTACAGGTACATGTGCTGCCTAGGGAGATGTTTGGCTTTTCGACGTTTGGAATAGCGATGGGTCTATTGAAATGGCTTCCAATAAAGTTTGTTGACAAGTTGGTATTGGCGTTGGCTAGGTTAATGTTAGGTGACACTGCTCGCTACGGCGTTAGGAGGCCAAAAACTGGGCCATTAGAGCTCAAACTTGTCACTGGTAAAACCCCTGTGCTGGATGTTGGACAAGTCGCGCAAATAAGATCCGGTAACATAAAGGTATACGTAGTACGTGTGCATTTAATTACTGAAATCATTTGTTTTCTGATTCATGAGCATGTAATTATAGTATAACAATGTAAAGCAACTATTCAATTTTACCATGTGCGGAATCTATTGGTAAGTTTCGTTAGGGTTTGTTGCAGGTGATGGAAGGTGTGAAGGAGATAACAAGGAATGGTGCCAAGTTTATGGATGGACAAGAAAAGGAGTTCAGTGCTATAATATTAGCAACGGGTTACAAAAGCAACGTGCCCACTTGGCTTAAGGTAAAAAGAATCCATTTTTAGCTCTACTTTGCTTATCAATCAACTTCAAGCACATGTTGAGTCAGTTAGCGGTGGTTTGGGAGTTGGGACATGCACAGCAGAAACCAACAAATGGGTTCTTTTCTTCATGCAACAATACAATGAAGGAAAGAGAATAAAAGGACTTTGGGGTTTGCGCCTGATAAATTCGAAACTTTTCATTCCAGTGACGTTTCATGTGTAACGATCGTGAAACATCGCGTAAGCTTCTTGTGAAACCACACCCACACACCCAAAGAAAATGTTCCTTTTGTTCCTTTCCGTGTCGTTCGAGATGGAGAATGCTTCAAAACTACACCAATCTGATTTCAACTTTACACCCATATACAATGGGAACCATTTCTGAGTGATGAAAAAATTGTTAATATTTCAGTAATTAATTTAAAAAGAATTTCCGAAAACATGTGTATTAAATTATTTAGTTAAAAATGCAGAGCCGTGAATCTTTCACGAAAGACGGAATGCCGAAAACGCCGTTTCCAATGGGTTGGAAGGGAGAGAATGGATTGTATACGGTGGGGTTCACGAGAAGAGGTCTTCTTGGAACTGCATCAGACGCCGTCAAGATTGCTGAAGACATCGCTGATCAATGGATGACCGTTAAGGACAAATCATACCGGAATTCCCACATCATCTTGCTCAAGAGTACATAGGATCACCTCGCTAATCTTGTAATTCTCCTGGATTTTTTTTTCCCTCTTTACAGAGGTTTTTTTTATTTTTATTTTTATTTTATTTTTTTTGTGTATGTACAATTTTGTATTTCCAGCATTCTTGTGTCTAAACTTTTCACCTCTTTCCCTTCGCTTTAAACAGTTTCGTAAATGAAATGCTGCCTTTGTTCAAACAAGGTCAACAAAGCTTATAACCGTGTCATGTCTCCATTTTCTTATCATTTTTTCGTACTTCATTTGATGTATTTAATTTATTCTGATAAATATGACTTTACCAATAACGATAATAGAAGAAGAAGATAAAGAATAATGGCATTGGCATGTTAATTATTATGGTATCACACATCGTCTCTCTCCCATATTTATTATTCTTGATGCAACAGTTCCAGTACCTACGTACGTCCTTCTCACTATTAATGAGAAGGCACTGCCACACTCCAATATTTTGCTTTTCATTCACACAACAAAGAACACGAGAATTCCACACTAATCATCATCCATTATTTCTTGCAGAGAAAACTTACCACTTTAACAAATTATTATTAGTTTGTCTTCAAATTATTTAAGAAAAAAGTCTCCAAAATTTTTCATTTAAATTTAAGTTTACATTCTAGAAGTCAATATCAGTGAAAATTTAATAAAGTTAGAAAAAAAAATAAAACCATTCATTTTACATATTTGTATCTTAAGTAAAAACGAGTTTAATATATTTTTTAATTATTAAAAATATTATACTTCAGGAAATTAATTCTTAATTGATGTAGTTTTTTTTTTTTTTTTACCTTTTGCAAAATTATGTAATTTTACTCAATTTTGTTAAAAATATTCAATCCAAAATATGTAAATATGTGCGTGTCTTTTGACACTACTACAAACAAAGATCTAATAAACCGACGTTGAAAGTATAATTTTTTAAATTAATAATTTTTATTTATTTACAACCCCTTTACCTCCTTTATTTATTTAGAAGTCTCCCTCTCTTTATATTATATTTTTATTAGGTCCTCCATCTCTTTATATTATATTTTTTAGAAGTTTATTAATTTTGTAAGAGAATTGTCATTGGCAGGATTCGAACCCAAGTACTTTAGAGTTGGAGGCTGATACTCCAACCACTAAACTACTCGGAATTTTTTAATAATAACTTACAAATAAATTATATTTATATACAAATAAATATATATCTCGTGTAAATATATAAATATATAAATACAAATATATTTATATATTTTGATATATTTATATAGTTATATATTTATATGTTGAATGTGAGGGTACACTCGAAAGTGAAAGTGTGTGTCGAGTAGGTTTTCAAAATTTGATGCTAAATTTGTGAGCAGGTATCTTTATATGAGTTTGTAATTTAATGACATAATATAATCTTTATAATTTTATTTATATAATAATATAAAATAAATTTGGGAAACGCGTTATTCGCTCTCAAGCGAAAAATACCAATTTTCGCTCAAGCGAGACTTGAGTGAGTGAATTTCCGTGAGCTTTAACATATTTTCACTCAAGCGAGAGTCAATCACACTTTCACCCTCGGTCAAAAAATACCAATATAATTTATTTATAAGTTATTATCAAAAAATTGTAGTAGTTTAGTGGTTGGGATATTAACTTACAACCCTAAAATACTCGGGTTCAAATGCTCGTCGATGACAATTCATTAACTTAAGTGAATTTTTGGCTGAAAAAAAAATAAAAATGCTTTCCAGAAAATATATACAAATATGAATCCTGGCAGTGACAATTTTCAAATTTAATTGAATTTTTGGGTGAAAAAAATAAAAAAAAAACGACTTTCCACGTCGGTTCCCATATGAACCGACGTGGAAAGTGTCAATAACTAAAAAAAAATAAAAAAAAAGACTTTCAACGTCGGTTCATATGGGAACCGACGTAAAGTATTTTCTACGTCGGCTGACTAAGAACCGACGTAGAATGTGTTTAATATTCAACTTTCAACGTCGGCTCATCCGAACCGACGTGGAAAGTACTTTCTACGTCGTCTCGCCTATAACCGACGTTAAATGACGACGTAGAAAATATATTTTGTAGTAGTGTGGAAATATAATTTAAATAAAAAAGATGATGAGATATAGTTTTTCTAACAATTTTTTAAACAAATAATAATAAAATAAAAAATTATTATTTTAGTTTTTGTTTTAATAAATACTATATGATTTCTTTATTAAAAAAAAAAACATAAACATCAATGACAATAATTTATTGAGGCACAGAACAAGAAAATATACAATAAATTGCTCATAAGACGAAGCCTCCCCTGAATGTGTAATAAAGGACCATCCAATCCAACTCATCTAAAACAAGACAAAACATGTTGAGCCACCAATAACCAACGCAATTCAAAACAAGTGTGAAAAAAAAAACATTTCATTTATGCGTCAGAGAAAATTTTAAGTTTATTTGAATATAAAAATTGATTTTTTTTCGAAGTTTTTATTACAAATATAGACCTTTTTAAGAAAAATATCAATTTTTTTTTCTAATTTTGTATTAGTATGTTTTTTCTTAGAGAAAAAAGATGGTATTTACCTTTTCTTTATTTTAAAATAAATATTGACCTACCTTGCACTCCCATTAAAATGATACTCAATTTCTTTATAATTTTAACATGAATATTTACCTCTTTTGTATTTTAATAAATAATTTTTTTCTTGTTTTATTTAAAGTATCATACTGGTTAAAAAATTTAAATATAAAAACAATTTAATTCCTCTATATAAATACAATAAGGGAGATGAATAAAAACCCAAGGAATGTGAGTCTTATTTATTAAAAACATTAGAAAAATATATACTCATTTATTGTTATATTTTATTAAAAATATAAAAAATTATGTTTATTTTCACCGTAAATGAAGTGTAGATATTGTTTATATAATACGTGAGAGATATGCAATTTTTTCTTTTTTTATATAATCATAATTTCAGTAGGAATTATTGATAGCTAGAAGCAACATGACTAATTTAACACAAACAATACAAATATTTCACTCTCGACATAATCACTTCATTACTAATAAAATAGTTTGAAATTCCCTAAGTCAATGAAGGCATACACAAAATCATTATTCCTCCACAAAACAATCTAAAATCACCTAAAGTGTATCATCTAAGTCCATTAGTGGATACATCCACAAAACCATTATTCCACCATGAAACTACCAACTCTAAGCACAAGGGGGCATGGTTGTCCTCATATTTTTGTTTCCGGTTCATCTCACTAGGCCATAGGTAGCTTACTGTACTCTGCTAGGGCCAGGCATATCTTAGCAAAGTATAGATTGGCATGACATGGCATGCAGCGAGGTAAGGTACTGATAATATCAGGTCTGAATCGAGGCCAAGACTGATGCTGTGTATGCTGTGGACGCAAACCAAACGCAGGCCAATATTTATCTATCTATCTATCTATCCCCATGCAAAGAGATACATAAATTCTCTCTTCTTCTGCATGCAACGGGGCCCATGTGTACATATACCTAACAGACCCTTTCAATATTCTGTCAGTTTATACTGTTTTGTAGTTGTACATCTTTTTGTTCTTCTCTTGCACCGTGTATACATGCCAAAGGAAGAACTGTTGAATTTTGTTTTTTGGGCAGTGATGAGGTGATGATGATACATTATATGAGGTCATAGTTAATTGAAGGGTCCCCTACCTAGCTCACTCCATATATCAGTATATATGTATATATGTACAGATTTAATTCTCTATGATTCAGAGTCTGTGGGGTCACTTGATCTCAGTGGCATGTTGCTTTTCTTGCAGCTAGCTTATTGGGTAAGGCACAAACGACACAATATGAAGCTGTAGGTTTGCAGCAAGAGAGAGAGACCTTTCATAATGTCCACCTCCCTTTTGTTGCATCCATCTCTAGCTCACTCACACATCTCTGTCTCTGTCAAAGTACTTACAGGATGCTTATATATTTGGAAGTACCAACACAAGGTTTCATGAATCATGATGCAACTCACATTTATCACAAAGAGTGTTTTTTCTGAATGTCATAGATAACCCTTTAGTCAAAAGATTAATATATAGCAGAAAGGAACTTTGAGTAAACTTTAGTATTATCAACTACTGAGGTTAGGTCTCTCTAATCCAATTTACCTTTCCTTCTCAACCTTTGATTCATCAATGCACAGTAATCAAGATGTAGCTTTTAAGGATATTCCAAATTAAGTTAATTGGGTTGAGTTACTAAAATAATAACAATAAACAGATAAAAGCTGGGAAAAAAATATATCTTCCCTACCACCACTGCTGTATATATATATATATATATATATATATATATATATATTAAGAATCATACTATCTATGCACAAAAGAGCTTTTTACGTCTGGTTAAAATGGGTTTTCTACGTCGGTTAAAGCGGTGACATAGATACGGGGTAATAGAAAGTAAGTCTTTCTACGTCGGTTAGTCGAGAACCGACGTAGAAAATCTTACTTTCTATGTCGGTTAACTTCCTTTCTAACTTTTTATAACCTCACTATCTATATCGGTTAACAGTAACCGTGATTGTATGTGATATCAATGTCGGTTATGCTTATAACCGACATAAAATGTTACACTTTCTATGTCGGTTATATCATTAACCGATATAGAAAGTACTTTCTACGTCGGTTAATGACATAACCGACGTAGAAAATGTTATTTTTTTTTACAAAACCTGCATTTTCTTCATAGATCCTACCTTTCTTCGAGTAGACCTGTCTATTCATCATAGTTCCAGACAAATATTCACAGTTCCAAACACTTGTACAGACAGATATGCACAGTTCATATATATATATAGTTTCAGACAGATATGTACATATATGAAACATATTGAAATCAATATATGTACCTCAGTTCCAGACAGTTCATTTACTTAAACGAATGTAAATTTGCTAACTTAAATCAATTCAATCAAAATTGTTACAAGTCAAATTTGCTATGA